CTTCGAGGATATCCTTTCAGGTTTCTGGTAGAGCACAGATCTGTGTGGCTCCTGGTTTCCCTCTGGCCCCACGTTCCTTCTACTTGGAGGATGTCCCTCAGGTTTCTGGTAGAGCACAGATCTGTGTGGCTCCTGGTTTCCCTCTGGCCCCACGTTCCTTCTACTTGGAGGATGTCCCTCAGGTTTCTGGTAGAGCACAGATCTGTGTGGCTCCTGGCTTCCCTCTGGCCCCACGTTCCTTCTACTTGGAGGATGTCCTTTCAGGTTTCTGGTAGAGCACAGACCTGCCAGTGACTAATTCTTCCAGCTTCTTATGTCTGAAGAAGCCCTGTTTCACCCTGGTTTTCAGAAGATACTTTTGCTGGTAAACAGTGCAGGTTGGTGGGTTTCCTTTTCTTGCATTTTAAAGATATTGCTCCACTGTCTTCTTGGGTGCATTGTTTTCATTCAAGACATCAACCAATCACCCTTTTCTTTGTTCCCGTATAAAAATGTGCCTTTTTTCTCTGGATGCTTTTAAGCTATTCTCTTTAGAACTGGTTTTCAGCATGTTGAGGAGGACGGTCCTTGGTGTAGTTTACTTCGTTTCTTGTGCTTAAATTTTGTCGAGCTTTTGGGAACTGTGGGTTTATGTTTTTCACTGCATTTTGAAACATTCTGGCCACCTTTTCTTAAAATATTCTTTCTTTTCCACCTCTCCCTTCGGGCTCCAGTTCCAGGTGTATTTCACTACCTGAAGCTGTCCCCCAACTCACGGATGCTTTGTTCATTTTTTTCGGTCGTTTTTTCTCTCTGTGTTTCATTTGCAGCGTTTCTGTAGCTCTGCCTTCAAGTTCATGACCTTTTCTCTCACAGTGTTCTCTTGATCCCGTTCAGTGTATTCTTTATCTGACATTTTGATTCTCCTGCCTGGAGTTCAGTTTGAGGCTTTAGAAAAATCTTCCGTGTCTCTACTTAACATACTTAGCCTTGCCGCTGGCATCTTGCACACGTGGAATATAGTCACAGGAAGTGTGCATGCTGTTCTCGTCCACCAATTCTATTGTTTTTGTCATTTCTGGGTTCTTTTTGATTATTTTTCTCCCCTCAGTACAGGTTATCATTTTCTGCTTCTTTTCATGCCTAATCATTTTTGGTTGGTTGTCAAACACTGTGTGTTCCACCTTGTTGGGTGCTGGATAGTTTTGTATTCCTATAAATATTCTTGCATTTGTTTCTGGGACACAGTTAAGTGACTTGGAAACTGTGTGATCCTTTAGGTCTTGTTTTTAAGCTTTGCTGGGCAGGACCAGAAATGCATTTAGTTTAGAGTTGATTTTTCCCTTCTACTGAGGCAAGACCCTTCTTTCTACTCTGACACCGCTTGAATTACTAGGTTCTCAGCTCTGGCTGTTGAATGCAGGCACTGTGTTCCTGCCCTGTGGGCTCCTATCCTTCTGGGTGGTTTTCCCCCAGGCCTGGACCTTTCCTTTTCACTTCTGCACTGATCTGTACTCCGCTGAAGCCTCGAGGGTGACCCTCTGCGGGCCTCTGGGGCTACCTGTCTGCACAGCTCTCTCCACGACTCTGTCCTGTGAACCCCAGCCGTCTTGCCCTCCCGGGACTCCCCCTCCCTCTGGACTCTGCCTGGGTCCCCACTGCCGGGCACTGCACCCTGGAAACTGCAGGGGGGAGCAGGGACTATTTGTCTCCCTTCATTTGTTTGCCGTCTCACAAGGATCGCTGTCTCCTGTTGCGTGAAAAAAAAAAGCTGCTGCTTTTCACATGTATTTATCTCTGAATTTTTTGATTTTTTAACATGCAGAGAGCATGTAAATCTGGTCTCTGTCATTTCATCTGGAGCAGAAGCAGAAGCCTGTATGTCAGGGGCTTCAGTTCCCTGGCAAGCACCTTCCATCATTAGAGGCGTTTCTCTCAGTCCCTACACCTGCTACTAAGATGCCTCCTCTTTCAGGGCTGCGGACACGCCCTCCTTGCCCACCCTCACCAGTCCCGGTCTCGCACAGAGCCAGGGCTCAGCTTCTCGTGGTTGACTGACGATTGTATGAAGAGCAGATAAATACTTCTTGGGGCTCGCTGTGTCCGGCAGGTGGGAGACAGAAACTCTTGCAATCCCCAGGATAATTCCATGGGGTCTGATTGCAGACGGGAGGATTGAGACCGGGAGGTTAAAAGGACAATGTTTGAACAGGTTCCGTATTCCGGGCCCATTGTCATGAAGGGGAAGTGGGAGCCCGCTGGTGGGAGGGTTTCGTGGAGGAGGCGGCTTTGGAGATGCGCTCAGGCTGGCCTGGAGCCGCCGTGGGGAGCGCCGCGTCCTGCACGGAGAGGCGGCCGCGGGTCCCAGGGA